ATATTGTCATTTTATTAAGGCAAACCGCCTGGGGTCCTTTTCAATGAGAAAGGCAGGATAAAAATATTTTAAACAAATAAATAAAATTTTGCTTCTCCTTCCTCCGCAGGCAACTTCCAAAAACCTGGGGTGTCGGGGTTTTTTTTTTAGGGGGGGGGAGAGAAGATTACTAAGTTCTAATATTAAACGGTAATGAAGCCTACAAATAACATTTTCCATCAACCCCCCCCCCATGTTATAAAGTCACAGATGCCAAAAAACACACCAACCCCCTTCCCAAGGGCAGGATGTTCGCTTTTAGCCAAGAGTGTCCAAAGCGAGTGCGGGCACGGGGTGGTGGTGTTGCCACCTGCTCAAAACCAGACTACAACTCCCAGAATCCACCAGACAGGACCACCACCCAGTCCCACTCCTGCTCAGGCTAGGAACAAGGTGTAGCTGCCCACAAGCCCTCCCGAGCCCCGTAGCCTCTTTCTCCTGTGCAGGCACCCCCAGAGCTGGCTGCCTCCCTCCAGGTGGCTTGGAGCAGCCCTTGGAAACCTTCCTTTCTGTGACACCCACTCCCAGATGTTGCCCCCCCGCTCCCCACCCCGCTTGTAGACCACGGGGGTTTCATAACTTTTCCCACCCCCTGCATTGCAACTACAGCACACTGGCCTGCCGACATCAGCCATGTGTCCTGGGGACCATGGGTATGGTAGTCCAACCTATCTGGAGAGCTGCACGTCAAAGAGCCCAATTAAAGGCATTGAAGGGGATCATGGTTTGCTTTTCCTGTGGGTTGGTTAGTTGATTAATCTCTTCCCCCCCTCCCTCCCTCCAGCTCTGAAGCATCCCTGCTCCTTTTTTTAAAAAAGGGGAAATGCATTCCCTGTTGCAAGAGTTCTTCAGAAGAGGTGGAGACTTTTTCTCCTGATAACCCTTGGGGGGGGGAAGAGGGGAGGAGAGAGAGCACTTCCCCTCTGCTACCAGAAAGGGGACAACCTTGCTATGAAGGTATTGTTTGGGGGGGGGGAAGGGAACAGTGTGTGTGTGTGTCATTTCAGGCCTTTGTTCCGGGGGGTTCCTCAGGGCTGCCTTGCAAGGCAGGAAGTCAACCACCTTCTGGAGTTACTTTTCCTGGCGGAAGGGAACAGTGTGTGTGTGTGTCATTTCAGGCCTTTGTTCTGGGGGGTTTCCTCAGGGCTGCCTTGCAAAGCAGGAAGTCAACCACCTTCTGGAGTAACTTTTCCTGGTTTCAGCCGAGTCACTGGGGAGGGCAAAGCAGTTGCCTCGGGTAGTGGAGGATGGGAGGCAGTGGCGCCCCCCCCGTAGGGGATCTGAGGGGGTCCCCGGCCAGGCCCCCTAAGCCACCCCTGCCACCTTCAGGTGAAATCCACATGGGGCGCATAAGGTGAAAGAGAATGACAAGCGACTGGGAGGGGAGGGAGATGCAGAACCTAAGGAGGAGAATCTCAATTCCCATCATGCTGAACATCAAGCCACCCATTAACCCTCACTCACTACCCACTGCATTTTCTGAAAAACGAAACCCCAAACTTCAAGACATCCTTCTTCAAATATAAATTTTTTTAAAGCAAACGAGCAGCTTGAGGGCAACATTTGGTAGAACAGAAGGAAAAACCAGAAAGAGAGGTTTTGCTGGAATGTCAGTGGTTCAGTATTTGGCCCTTCCGATGTCAATGGGCCTTCAAGTCCCAGAATCCGCCCCCCTCCCCCAACCAGTCCTGCCGGCCAAAGTTTCCAAGTGTTAGGATCTGACAATGTCAGAGGGTCCAAAGGTTGAGCTACATCCCATTGCCCCCAAAATAAGATACAAACACAAAACACAAGAGGAGTCTTGTAATGACTCAACCGCTCACGCAGGGCTGATCCATCACACAGTGCTGGACAAATGCAGCTCATCTGAGGACCATCAAGGGCCACTTGCTGTCTCAGACCAAAGTCAGCACCGTCCCGCCTGCTTTGCAGGAGAACCCCAGGAACTACCTGCAACTTGATGGTCTAGGAAAACCCAACAGCTAGGTGCCGAAATGAAAGGAGAAAATGCCAGTTCCTGCCAGGTCAGAGAGGAAGAGGCACAGAGCTTAATGGCACTCTTCCCATGGGACCCTGAGGAGAGGGGGGGTCCCTGATCACCAGACATTCACTATCACCACCCATAAAGAAGAAGCCGACTGATGCTCGTCATTGCTCCAAATATTCCCAGGGAAGACGTTTCCTCCGCTCCACCAAGGCCACCCACTGGAAAGCACAGCTTCTGAGATTCACCGCCACCCCCCTCAGCCGGCTTCATGGGCACCCCGAGAGGTGGGTTCCTCTTCCTTCAGCTGTAGCTTCGGGGGAGCCCGTCGGGGCCCAGCAGGTGAGCGCTCGGGTCTCCCACGAGCATCGGTCCCGGGCCCGGCTAGAAAGAGAACACAAACAGCCAAGGTTAGAACGTTGCCCGAGAGGTGGTGTGAAAGCAACAGCGGCAGAGGTGAGCCTTCGCTATTGTGCAGGGCGGAGGGATGGTTCGGCTCTCTGGGCAGAGTGGAAGGAAGGGCCGGCCTCACGAGCAAAGCCATGCCAGGCGCAAAGAGGCAGCCCACAGCCTCTATCAAGGCCAACTTCCCGTGATGCGTAACAGTCGTCCCCCCCCCCGGCCATGACCAGCAACGGACCTTGGTGAGTAGCAACTCCCGGAGGGCTCCTGGCGCAGGGTCCCTCACCACCGCGGACAGCAGTTCCTCGGAAGGCGTGGCTGCCTCCACAGGCAAACGGGCAGAGTGGAAGGAAGGGCCGGCCTCACAAGCAAAGCCATGCCAGGCCCAAAGAGGCAGCCCACACCCTCCATCAAGGCCAGCTTCCCGTGATGCGTAACAGTCGTCCCCCCCCCCGGCCATGACCAGCAACGGACCTTGGTGAGTAGCAACTCCCGGAGGGCTCCTGGCGCAGGGTCCCTCACCACCGCGGACAGCAGTTCCTCGGAAGGCGTGGCTGCCTCCACAGGCAAACCTTTCACAAACCTGCAAGGGGAGGAAGACAAGGAGGAGGCATGGGGGCTGTAAGAGACAAGGGCCACCCTGAGCCCAGCAAGGCGAAAGGGATGCAGGGAACCACACCCGTGCCGGATCAAAGAAACCCTTCACGGGGAAGCCCCTGAGAAAGGGGGCAAAGCGCTCTCGCTTGGAGAAACCGGCATGGGCCAACCTCAGGACTCGGCGAGCAAGGCCCAGGGTCCCCTAAAGGCCAGCCCCCTTGGCCGACGGCTCCATGGGCTGAAGGGAGAGAGGCGGGTGCATGGGAAGGGAACCCCCCCCCCGAGGTCCCTGGTCACTGACCGGAAACAACAGTGGGATTTTGCTGCATGCTGCTGGCCGACAGAGGCCAAGAGGGGTGCAGGGGAAGGCCCCCCCTTATCTCTCAACAGTGACCTCCAGCTGGACTCATTGCCTCTTGCAAGAGAAACTCATGACCTCTTACAAGATGGATCAGATGAGCACTGGGCTGTGCTTGTAAAAAGAGAAGGTATCATTTTCCGACAGTGGGGATTATTTGCTTGGGTATGTGGGTTCCTTCCCCCCCTTTTTGATCATCCTATATACCCCTCCCCCCAAACAACAACATCACCCCCACCCCCACCAAAAGGAAGTCCCCGGGTTCACTTACTGGCCTCCGTTGTTGGCCGGAGGGAAGCTGCGCCGGACCACTTCCACAAACTCGTCCACCGTCTCCTCCAGCATGAAGAGGACTGCGTTGGGTCCCGCATCGAACGTGTAGGCCACCTGCAGCCAAGGAACAGCCCAGAGGTCAGAGAAGCCAGGGTTTAACCACCAAAGTCACCCTTCCCTGCCTGACGACAACGCAGATGTTTTTGGCTGTTTTCTTCCAAGAGCTCAATCCAAGAATAACATTTGGGGGGGGTGGAGAGTGTTAAGCAACCCCTCCCCCTCCCCTCTGCATTTTCAAAGAATAGGCAGAGAAGCTGTGGGTCTCAGCCCCCAGATTTCTGGATCCAATAGTCGGGAACTTGATTTGTTTATTTAAAAAAAACAAAAAACGTTAAAGCATTGTTTTAGCGGAAACTTCCAAAGAAGGACAATCTTGTCAATTCAGTAGAACCAGAGGTTTACCTTGCAGTGCAAAATAAATAAAGAAATAAAAAATAAAAGAGGTAGTTCTGGTATCCAGAGGTCTTAGGTATGTTTGGACCACAACTCCCAAATCCAGTCGCTACTAGCATGGGTCCAAGGTTGGCTGGGGGATTCTGAGAGCTGTAATAACTTTTCCAAACCCTAGGGGGAGGCATTTGACCCTGCCATAAAGCCTGCCCCACATATATGCACTCCACAAGCCCTCCGGCTGCCCCACCAGCTGACCTTGGTTTTGCCATAGTGGGCGTTGAAGCGATGGACCAGGGCGATCACTTGCTTGGAGGTGTCGTTGAGGTAGAAGAGGGGCGGGAAGGTATCCAGGCAGGTGGCGTGGAACTGGTTGCTCTCCTGCATGGTGAGTTTGCCAAAAGCTTCAAAGTTGCGCTGCTGGATGTGCCGAATCATCTCGGCCATGCGCTCTGGGACCAGCGCTTTTGCCCGGTGCTAGAAGACAGAAGGAAGGAAGAAAGGAGGCAAGGGCCGGCGGCAGCACATCCGAGGAAAAAGGAGGGCTGGGAAGGAGCGCACGAGACCCAAAGGGCGCCAGCATTTGTTCGTTAGAGGCACACCCTGCCTTTTCTCCGAACAGCACAAGCTGGCCTCTGGGGCTCTCTCTTCTTCCTCGTCCGGACAAGAGCCACGCCAGGCACCCCAACGCGTTTCAAGGCTCAGTGGAGACGAGAACCTGGACCTCTCAAGCCCTGATCTAATGCCAGGATCACCACACGACAAGGAACTGCCAGCAGTTACAGCGACATGATGTCAAATGAAAAGAAGCTGCGCCGAGTGACAGGCAGGGCGCATGCAGCCGGGGTGTGTGTGTATGGGGGGGGTAGTGCTGGCCCCTACCTTCAGCAGGAGGCTGGTCTTCACGCTGGTTTGCATCCCGGCTGTGCTGCCCACTGGTTTTTTCTCTGCGCTCACCTGATAAGGAAGACGACACAGAAAGTAGCAGCCACGAGATCCTTGCATGGAGGGGGCCGAGCTCCAACCCTCTCACCAAAAAAGCCAGGGCTTGTCCAAAATAACCTTCCACAGAAGTGTAACTCCCCCCCCCCAACAAAAACCACCTTTGCATTGCTGTAGAATGAAGTGAGCAAAATCTGGGGGATCAGGATCTGCCACAGCCGTTGCCGCCACTGGGACTCCTACCAACCACCCTGAAGCACACGCCTCTGGGACTGGAAAAGTCCACACCACCAGCACCCTCCCCAAAGAGGCCCAGCCCATCTCTAGGTAAATCTGGCAGTCTATGGCCGGGTGCCCTCTGATCCCCTTCAGGATAATCACTGAGGACCGTTCAGTCAATTCAGATTTATGGCAACCTTTTTTCAGGGCTTGTCCAGGTAGGAAACAATCTAGAGTAGTTTTCCGTTCCCTTCTTTTGGGTGGGATCCCTGGGACTCCTGCGCAGCTGGCCCAAGGCCACCCAGGCTGGCTCTCCACCTGCAGAAGGCCCAGTGTGTGTGTGTGTATGTGGGGAACCCAACTCCCAACCTTGGGCTCCACCGAGCCATCTGACTCACCACCAAGATCAAGATCCTCAACTCTGGCCAGTGTGTCTCCGGCGCTACCTGCTGGGCAACGCTGTCCTTACCATCCGCCTCTTCCCCCATGAGCCACTGCACGAAGCCTCCGAACATACTCCGGCAGGCGCTGCCCGAGCCCTGGCGAGCCACTTCGGAGAGCTCACCTTCCACCCCATACAGCTTGGCCAGTGTGTAGACTGCAGGGGGAAAGAAGAGAGGCCAGAATCGGTCTTCTCCCGAACTCACAGCTCCACATGGGACCCCCATCTCAAACCCCTCCCCTGGGGCCCCCAGTTCCCTTCAACTTGGCTCCCAGCCACAGGCCCCCTTTGGAGCACGGGGGGTGGGGTGGGGCAACAGAGCCCAGAAATGGGCAGAAATGGGAGACACTCAACCTCCAGGGTCCCCACCCCACTCACCCAGGCAGGCGTAGCCCGCAGCGGAGGAGGCCAGGCCAGCCGCTGTGGGGAAGTTGTTCTCTGAGGCAATGTGGACTTTGTAGGTCAGGCTGAGGGGAGGACGGTCGCTGTTGCCCTCGCCGTTGCTCTCGCTGCAGCGCTTCCTGGTCAGGCGGCGGACTGCCGAGAGCACGAGAGATGGCCAGTGAGATGACCCTCACACGGGGGACTTCCTCCAAGGGAGAAACATTGCCCAAACATTCTAGCTCTCCCTGGACAGAGAGAGAGGCTTTCGGCCACCGGAGCCCTTGACACCACCAGCCTATGTGGTAGAGCCCAACCACCGGCGGGAAGAGGGGGCAGAGCGGAAAACAACCCCCGAGGGTCCCTCGTGAAGCGCAAGAGCCCAGAGCTCAGCAACATGTCACCTTCCTGCCCTACGTCTCTCAGAATTCCCCAGTCAACATAGCTGGCAGTCATGATATCCAGAGGATTCTGGGACACAGAATCCCCCCCTCAACAGAGACACATTATCTTCCTTCAGACAAGGCTTCTCCTTCCTGGCATAGCTTCTGTCTCTCTCCCTCCCTCCCTCCTTCCACTCACTCTCCCGCAGGCATGACTGGAGGCGTGGATGCTCAATGTCACTCTCCTTCCCATTCAGCCAGAGGCGGTCCTCTGTGAAGTCCCGGCTCACAGCAGCCGTCGTCGTGGTTTTGAGCTGAAACAAAACCTCCAAGTCAAAAGGGCCAGAAACTGCTACCCGAGTCCATCTTTTGCGACTGGAGACGGGCACAAACTTCCAGTTGTGCAGTTCGTCCTTCAGAAGAACAAGTGTTTGGTGCTTCCTTGCCCTGCCTCCTCTGGGTGCTGCCCCTGAGTGGGCGCCTGCTGGAGGAGGCAGGGCTCGGAAGTGCCAAAGGATGAACGAGAGCACACTGCTGAACAGACAGCTTTGTGCTCATCTCTTTAACTGCAAGACGTTTAGTACATCTACCTAAGTTACGTAGAATTCCCACAATGGCCTGAACTGAAAAACATTACAGGGTCCCAAAGTACACCCTCCCCTCCTCCAAATCAACCTCCGGCTGATTCAAATTTTCTGAGAACCGTTCAAGTGAGGTCCGATTGTTCTCCTTCTCTCTTCCCCATCCACCCCTGGTTCCACAATGAACTGTTTCTCTTTTGTCATCTCAAGCAAAATGAGACCTTTGTTATGATCTGCTACTAACCTGATCTTGGTGCAGTGTGACACTGAGGGAAGAATTAATCGGCAGGATCAGGTCTTCATCACGTTTCCCCCCTGGAAAATGAACAAGCAGGTCGTTAGAACTGGGGGGGAAACCCAGAAACGTTCACGGCCCATCCCCTTTCCTGCAACCAGAGCCTTGGGCAACCCTGACTTCAGCGGAGCAAGCTGATCCACCTGTTTCTGTCACCACAGACGTGGGCCCAAAGCACCGCCAGAAGGAGAATCCTGTGATTTGCTGGCATGAGCCTCCCTCTGGCTTCTGACCTGCTAATTGGCCTGCTTGCGCTAGGCCATGTGCCTTGCCCAACAGGCCAGGCTGCTCAACAAGTCAGCCGGCTCCCTTCTGCTCTGTGGGGCTCGCTCTGCGGCAGGTAGGCGCGCACTGAACTGCAGCCTGAGCTGTGTAACAGGTGGGGGCCCACCAGTCACGAACATTGCAACCGGGGGAATAGGGAAGCCTGAATCAAGTGGCAGTGAGTTCCATGGGATTTACCCCAAGGAAAATGAAGAGAACTGTAGCCTGAAGTATCAGAGCAATCACATTTATTTAGGAGCTGCATTTATAAAAGGCGGCTACCCTATTTTTGAACAACCCAGATGTAAAAGATTATTTTGGAATGTTACACTGGCACAGCAACAAGCCCCTTTGCCTTTGTTTTTCCCAGCAAGAAGTTTCATAATGAGGGAGGATCTGTCTGCTCCGGGGCCTTGTTCTGGCTGCTCTCCTGCTGTGTTTTCCCTCTCCATGCACAGTCCAGTGTCACTCGCCTCCCTTCGTTTTTCCTCCTGTTAACAAACCTCACCATTTTCAAACCACAACCACGCTCACCTGCTTCACAACACAAACATGGGGGGGGGGGGGAAGGCTTAGAGCTCCTTTAATTCAAATCACAAGACTGAAACATTGCTTCCCCCCCACACGCACACACAGAGCTTATGTGACTTCTTAGTCTGTCCTTCATTCACTTGAGCACTTTTTCATGGGTCAGTCTCTTTATCCAAGCAATGTTTAGCACACTGCAAAATTGCATGAGGCCTCCCCCTTTTTTCTTATTGCAAAGTTCACACCATCAAGGGCCGCTTGGCCGGTGTCAGAGTCCCCCCCCTCACCTTAAGTGACCTGCATGGGGGGCCCCCTCCTTCCCCCAGTTTTATCACATGGCAACAAGACCCCACACAGAAATGCCCAGGGTGGTGTAGTCACCCCCTCCTTAAAGGTCCCACCTACCTTGAAAGCCCTATTAGGGTCGCTCTAAGCTAGATGGGGGTCCTGACGGCACAGCTCAGGAAGGGCCAAAATCTAACGGGCAGGGGGGGGGGTTCGGGGGGGAGGCAGGCAGGGTCGCTACCCACAGTATTTGACCACAGCGATGTTGACAGGGGCTGTGCAGGTGACCCGCGTCAGGGGCTGGTCGTCCGCCATGGCTCCAAAGGGCAGCTGCCGAAGGACCAGAGAGAAGAAGGCCCACAAGCAGCACCAGCCGCAGCCCCGCTTTGCAACCCGCGAGAAGGCGAAACTCGCTTTGCAAGCTCGCCTGCAAAGGGGCCCCCACGTGCCTGCAACCAGCTGTCTGCCCCGGGATTGGCCAGCGGGGCAACAGCTGCTGCAGCTCTGCCCAATCAGCGCCCGTCCCACCTCCTGCCGTGGCGAGGCTCGGCCAATGAGAGCGCGTCGGAAGATGGGACTCCTCGCTCGCCTCATTGAGAGACGCCGCGGAGGCAGGAAAGAGAGAAAGGGGGAACGGAACCCTCGAGGCGCTCCCGGAGGGGGAAGCGTTTCCTGCACGGACGTTTTTAGCCGTTGCGCAAAGGCTGAATAAGTAACCAAGGAGGGCGGCCATGACACTATAGGCATAGGCAACTCCGAAGTTGGCTTGCCATTCCGACCTGAGGGGTTAAAAGAGCAATTAAACAGCGATTAAAAGACAAGTCTACCGGTGTTTGAGTTTTTCATTGGGCTAGGTGGTGTAAAAAAATGGGGTGTGTGTGTGTGCAGTGCTGGGCTTTTTGAGAAAACAGATTTTTTTTTAAAAAAAAAACCACTTGCATCTCTTTGCCTCTTCTAATTTTCTGTATTATCAGGTAGCCTGATGAAGAATTCTGGTGGACTCAAAAGCTTGCACAGGGTTTTTTAAAAAATTTAGTTGGTCTTGATAAAGGAATGCTCAGAGGGGAATCCTAGGAGATGAATTTTCCCTCCCAGGTCCATTGGTATAAGTCAGTAGGAATCGCTTTGCAGGTCTTCTATGCCACTTTCTGCCACCTTGAAGAAGGGGAGGTGCGGCGGAAAGAAAGCCAGCTCAACCTGCAGAAGAAAATAGCCTTTCAGCCGTTCAAGGTGCAGCCTGAGATCTGTGCTTTGCGTAATGACAGCGGCTGCAATCCGGAGGAACCAGACGGTTTCACGAACAGTTTGACCTGCAGGCGGACAGACGGCTGATCACAGAGTTCTAGGAAACATTCTGGGATGAGGGGATGAGGCAGGTCAAGAAGGTGGGCTGCCTCATCCAGCTCCAGGAAAGGCCATTTCCTTCTGGGACTCCTAGACTCTTTTCGGGTGGGTGGGCAGTCCCTCCACGCGAAAGGCGGTCAGCAAACACCATCTTCTTTTCAACGTTTCCCATCATCCACTGTGAGCTCCACCTGGACAGCAGACTCAGAAACACTCAGGTCACGCACCTCACCCTCCACTCCAATGAGGAATACGATCATTCTGTTTAATGTTTGTCTGATAAGCACTTCTGGAGCACTCAAAAGCTCACCTTGTTTGCAACTTTTTAATGCTATGCTAAAGGCACTGCCCAAGCAGAACATAAGGGCGCATCTGCACTAACACCATTACATCGGTCTGGTTGCGCTTTCTCCGCCATGGGTCAATCCTAAGGATTTGTAGCTTGGTGAGAGAATTTGAATTCTGGGCCAGAATGTGCCTTGAACGACGGCAAAGAAGTCTGGACCTTTCAGCCAGCTGGGATGGCTAAGAATCCAGAGGATGAAGCCATGACAGTTAAACTGGAATCAAACTGAGGTGTATATGCCAGCTGGGATTGGCCAGGTATCGCTTGGTAGCAACGACGCTAGGGGGAGCTCAAAGGCTGTAGATACTGGGAAATGCAGGTATTTCTCCAGACCCTTGCTTGATGTGGGACTGTTTTGTCCAAAATATTTCTGAGTGCCCCCTTTTCTCTTTTATTTTCTTTTTAAATGAAATATCTAGGTATTTTCCAAGCATGGAAAAGGAGTGGCCCTAATTCCACCCAGTAGAGAGACCACAAAAGAGTAAATTGTGGGATTTAGATACATCAGAGCGGATTGCCTGTTGCCTCATCTCTGGAGCAAGGGCACTAGAATCACTTTGGACTCGTCTTCTGAAATCAGCAGCCCCCCCCCCAATCCCAGAGACTTCGAGGTCACAGCTGGAGACCAGGGGGCGGAGCCTTGTGATGTCACAGAAATGGGGCAGGCAGGGGCTGGGAGGGAGTCTGGAGCAGCTTCAGGGCCAGTCGGTTGTGGAAAGAAGCCGTGGGGACTCCTGGTCTAGAATCTGGGTAAAACCAAGCTCTCTA